ATTCCAGTGAAATATATTTATGTTTGTGGTTGTAATGTGACAAAATATGGAAAAGTTCAAGGGGTATGAATACTTTTGCAAACCACTGTATATAGTGTTTGTGTGTATTTTTTTTTCCGTCTGAGAGTTACTTCCACAAATGAATCAAACCATTTCTTAAGAACATGCGGTCTCACCAGGTATTTGTTTGCTGATTGCTCCTGCCATTAGCCTGCAGGAGTCACGGGGAAGGTGTGCTCTGTGATTAGGTAGCTTGGCTTGGAGACACAGCCAAGAGGAGGAGCTGCACCTAAAAGGTGGTTCTAGGTTCAACCGTCCGCTTTTGCTCTCCTGAATAGCTACCACAGGACATTATAGGATTTCTAAAACAGGCATGAATGAGTCAAAGCTTTGTATGTTTTTAATGAGGGGATGTTTGACATTTCTTTAACAGGTGTCAGCTGATAGTTTATCACTGATTATTCAAACTGTGTCCTGGAGCTTCTGGTGATTTTAGCACATGAAGCCCAGCTGTAGCAGGTTCCACAGGACAGCATTGACAGCAGCGATGAACATTTGTTTTAAAAAAATTAAAAGACAAACCGTTTTCCCATTTTTGGCGTATAATATAAAAATAAATTAACTGGTTTTAGTTTTTCAGAAACTTCTTTTAAATGAAAAAGAAATCGATCAAAAAGTACACAGACCCTGGGATGGACTGGTGACCCAGAATGAACTAAACTAGGGGTGCACAATAAATTGGCTGGACGATTTCCTTAATTTTGGGTGATCAGCGATTGGCCGGTAGGGTTGAGCATAACCGTATCGTGTGCAATTAATCGTCAGAAAAACATTAATCGATTACTTTTTGGCACTTGACGATTAATACGATTAATGCCACCAGGCAGACTGACTGGAGATTACTCCGGTCAGTCTGCTTGTTGCTCCTCTCTGCTTCAAATATGACGAACATTAAAAATAAAGTTCTGTAATTTATTTATATATCTATCAACACAATTTAAAATATGATGTATAGCCTGAATCTGTAATTTTCACACAATTTGGAACATTTTTTTACAAATACAGTAGCAAATCTTTCCCACTAAATTGGTCATGTGACTACGAAATAAGGGTGTCCAGGGACTCCAGGAGATTAATCATCAAATTAATCGTTATCAGCAAAATACCACAATTAATCGTGATTAATATTTTTGCCAATATTGCCCAACCCTATTGGCCGGTACTTACATGAAAAGCTGATCTTATCTACCTCCGCAAAGGTCTGAAAAGCAGCCACTGTCACCTTTAGCTCTGCTGTGAGAGAGGCCTGTTGTCCAGTTAAAAATATGTTGTTGTTGTTGTTGTATTGTTTTAAGGGCATTGTTTGTTTTTCAATAAAATAAGTTTGGAACATTGAAGGTGTATTGTGACCTTATAACACCTGACAGTGTCAGTTATAATATATATATATATATATATCCTGAATCGGCAGATAAGGCTTTTAAAGCTCGGCCAGAAAACTGCAATTGGTGCACCCTAAAATGATCCCCACTTCTTGCAAAATAACTGCTGCAGTGAGGCACCAGCTCCCCACAGCCTTAAATGGAAGTAAACAGTTATTTACAAAAGAATAGATTCATTCTTTATGTAAAATAGCAAAACAAATCTAAATATTTCTGTTTGGAAAATTATGAAAGATTAAATTGGGTAGTGTTGGAATTCTGTTTCCTGGTGCTTTTTACTTTATTAGTTCACAGAAAAGTTGTCCTTCAGCTCAGTATCTCCAAGCACAGGTCAGGTTTTCTGTGGCAGACGCTTTATCAATGCAGCAGTCGATAATCTGAGATCAGTATATTTACTAAGACTCAAAGTCAGTATGGCTCTGTCCTTCTCAAGGCCGTCCAGCATGGATGCAGTTTGAGTCCAAAGCAGAGTGAGGGATCAAAGGGAGAAACTGTTGACACACCGTCCCACTTAATTGTGTTGATGACGCCTTAATTAAAACATCCTTTACATCAGATAGTTAATCTCTGGTTTGCTTGTTTTCACTCTCGTCAGATCATGGATGGACCTGGAGAGAACGACCCGGACCTCGTCCCCGCCCCCCACCCTCGCTTTTGTGAGGCCATCAAGACGGACGCTGCAGCGTACACCGCACTGTTCACCAGAACTTTTCAGAACAAAACCTTCTATGTGTACCGGCTCAAGAAGAAACGCAAGAAAAGTACCAAGAGCTCATCAGAACCTGGCGTGCCACAGTAGCCGAATCAGAGCTCGGAGAAGAAATCCAGCAGAGACCAGAGCGGAGAGGGAGAGCAGAGATGATGGGATGAAGTTCTCAGTCTCCTCTATGCACTTTGTCCAGCTGTGGTTGTTGTAGTTGTACAATTTTTTAAGTGGCTCTATGAACCTTTAGGTCGAAAAAGTGGGGCCAGCTGGGTTGTAATTTTTTAGTTTATGGAAAGTTGAACCAGATGTTTGCTGCTGATGTTAAACAGAAATGTAAGCCAACCCAGGTTTTACAGTATAACCATGATAAACTTCTGAACAGTCCAAACATCTCCGCAACCCAGTTGTTTTTCAGTTATATAATTTTTAGATCAAAATAAAACTCCAGTATGTATTAATTAGACTAAGCAAATGTAGGTGCAATAGATGTGACAAACTAAATCTAAAGACACTGGTTAATTGTGTAAAAAGATGGACACCTAAATAAAAAGGTGAGATTTATGGTAAGGAGTCAGAGTAAGGCTATAGTGAAGTGACTGGAAATAAATTTATGTCAATGAACGGTCCTAATAAGGATATAAATACAAGTGTGTGTGTGTGTGTGTGTGATGGCAGCTAAAAGGATAAACTTACTGCTCATCTCAGGTGTTTTGATCTGTTCTTCAAAATGTTACACAAGACTTGCAGCACCAAGTTTCTAACCTTCGTACTAAACGTAGAAAATGTCGACATTTCTGGCTGTTTAGTTTAAGTTGTTGGCGATTTAGTGAGGATTGTTTTGTTTATGGGGGTATCTGTTCACACACGGAAGTGACAGCAAAACATCAAGCAGCTCATTGAAACGTTTGTATTTACAGACTGAGTGCAGCTCTTCTCTTCGTTTATACTCAGAAGTCAGAGGTTCAGCATTTGAAGTCAGAGAAATCGACTCCAACGATCCCGTGGGATAGAATTTGGATTCAGAAAGTCTGACCAGTCGCAATCTCAAAATCAAATATGGCTGACTCGAGCGTGAAAAGTGAGGATAGCTGCAGTAATTTCTACAGAAACTGGATTTTTAGTTTGATTTCTGTTGGTTTGTATTGCAGTAAATGTTGCTATATATTGGTTGAAAACATAACATACATACAGTCTGTTGTAAAGAGTTGTGTTGCTAAAGGTTGTTAGCTTGGTGACTGAACAAGTTTTTGACTTGGAGCTGGACCRTGATTATATTGTCATTCCCAGTTTTGCACTCTATCCTGCTTTCAATCTGAAAGTGCTATAAGTGACAMATTACATTTTATTTGAAATATATAAGCTTGACTTCACGCTTTGTAAAATATGTCCCCTGAAGTTACAGTTTTAACCCAGAAAGTTGAAAAATAGTCTTACCAACACAATTTAAAACCAATCTTGGCCACACCACTAACTGTTAGCGTTTCAGTCCGTTTGTGTTTAAAGAAATCAGTCAGAATCACAATTGTCTAAATTACTTAAGCAGACAAGCTGCTTGTTTGCCATCTGTAAAGTACATTCTATGGTGTTAACTTGTATCGCTAATGATGTCTAATCTTCTTAATGAACAAATACGCTTCTTTTTGCTACTTGCATTTGGAACACAGTCCAACCAGTAAGATGTGATTCCTTTCAGAGTTGGAGACAAATCAAATGTGAGTGGAGAGTGCAGCATGCATTACTTSTGTAGCATGATCTGTGGACGTAGGATATTGAGGTTCTGGGTTTTGAATAGTGGCAAAAAATTCGTAGAGCGATCATTAAAATGGTCTCTACTCTTTATCTGCATTGTGCTTTTGTTTTCTGCTTTCCGAAAAGTCAGCGTCAGTGTGACTTGTCAGAAGTGCTCCTCTCCTTGGAGTAAATTCAGAGTAGTCTCAYGTGTCGGTCCGTGTTGGTCACCAAACTAAATGTTATCAGTTCCTCCGTACAAAGAAAAAGTGTGTGTATGTGGGGGGGAATAAATGTGTTCTTGTAAAACGGAGGTCAGAGCTGGTTCCTGGTGATACTTGTGACATTTGTTGTCGTGATTGCTGTCATGTTTTTCTTTCTGTCCGCTTCGTGGCTCTCATCAGCGGCGGTCTCAACCTTTTCACTCTTCTCGCTCCCGCGTACAAACACGCAGGGATAATGGAAGTGGCGAGGAAATTGCAAAAGGCTGACAACTGCACTGATTCCACGCTGCAATCCAAAATAATTCAGGGAAGGGAGAGAAGAGGGAAGTGTGTGTGTGTGTTGGGAGGGGGGGGGAGTCGGGCAACACACTCATATCAAACTGAGGCTTTAAGGTTTGGAAAGGCGAGGATGAGGAGGAGACGGGGAGCAAAGTAGACTCACGAAATGAGAGCACATCAGAACACGGACTCACGATCTGAAACTCTTTTCTTCTTTCCAGCTGAAGGAGGGGATTGAACGGGTCGAGGCGCTGATGGCAGTCAGACTCGGTTCTGCTCTGTGAGAAAGATACACGTTCCTGAATCCTGTAGCGTCCGTGCATCTGTGCATAATAAGCACCTCTGTCTTGGATAATTCACACACTCCTGCTCGGTCGTTGCAGGGCTTTTGAAAATGTGTTGTTCGTTAACTCTGTGGCCGAGTTGTAATGCATACCAATCGGATCAGCGCCGGTTCTTCCCCATGCCCTGCCTACAAATTGGATGTTTAATTAAGGAGATGCCGGATCACTTTATTTGAGAGAAAAGTGATTCCATTATGTTCGCTTAATGGGAGTGTACTAATGTGATATATTTTCAGCGCTGGTAATTTCCATACATATTGGGATTAGTGGTTCACTCAGAGGCCGTCTGCCTGTGGTCGTCTTTAATGAAGAACAGATGAAGACCACCGTTTACTGCATACACACAGACACGCAACTGCAAATGTTATTTGTCTTTTTCATAAGCACAAGTGGCTAAAATTCAATTCAGATTCTTTATTAAATTTAAGAAATCCCAGGTTTTCTCTTGGTTTCCCTGCTCAACAATGACTTTAAACGTCTGGATCAGAAACCTCATTGGATAGAAACTGATATAAATGTAAGCTTATTTGTGGTTTTATGGCTTGTCTTGGGGCTGTGGATGACTTTGTTTGAAGGGGTCTTCTGGTCATTTTGAAGTGGAGTATTGAGTTAAAAATTTCAACTAATTATAGTTTACCAGTTGTAGATAGCTCTTTGAACAACCTCACTTTATAGAAACCTAATTTACATCTGACAGAGCTGATGAGCTAATGGCTAGTCTTAAAGCAGCTAAGACCAAATTTGATTGTTGTCATCTTAAAAACAACTCAAACATTTCAGTRATGCTGATGTTTTATAAACCTTTACATCACTTTCTCCAGACATGGTCATATATATGGAATTCTATAGTTTATTGCAAAATGCTGACTGCAGCAGCAGCTTGCTGTAGTGCTTTGTAGGAAAATTTAGTGTTCGTTAACTGAAACCGTGACGAGATCACATAAATGTTGAATCTGATTAAAATTGTGAAGAGAATGGACCATACAGCCCCAGATCTGGTTCTGAGCGAAGCTTTATTGCTTACGGCTGAAGCAAGCACAGCAGTGCTGTCTGAAAGCGGAAGTTCCGGTCTATATATACAGGGATCTTCAGTGCCTGGTACGCCCACAGGCTTACGGCTGAATCACAGACACTCTGAACAGCAATGCTTCCCTGATGTTTTTATAAACGGTTTTTATTATGTGTTGTCATGTTTCAGGCATGTATCTAAACCTATTTTAACTAAGACAAAACAATAGATTATAAAAGTCAAGCCTTAAAAAGGAAAATTAAGAAAATGATGTGGCGCTTCTAAAATCAGTTTCTAATTGACTAATAAATTCCTTCAGCTTCTAATATGTTTGCAGAAATGTTTGTGTAATTCAAGCTCAGTGGCTGTGCAAGGATTTACATGTTTGCATAAACCACTAAGAACTTTTTCTTAATTTAATTTAAGAACTTTTTGAATTCATAGTGTTTTTATTGAACCCTCATGAATATTTGTACATTTAAATTGTTATAAAATATCCGCATTACGCTTTGGTCATGGTTCCATCGGAACTAGCCGTTAGCATGTTAGTGCTAACTCAGCTGTTATTTCTATAAGCTGAAGCTGTTTGCAGATTAATGTACATTTTGTAAGTTACTAATCATTTCTTTGTACCTTTACTACAGAATCACATTTTAAAATGGCCTGGATGTTTCTTTGATCTCATTTGTAGATGTTTTATTTTCTAACACAAGCTTTATTAATTAATTTTGTTAGTAATATATCATTCTTCCCTGATTCTGTGGACAGAAAATATGACCGGTCACCTTTATACTTAGTGTGCAAAGTGTGTATATGTTATATTTGTACCACAGAAATATTTTTTCTTTGTGCATCTCATTGGTCAACATGTGGAAGGGGGAGGAGTAAACTAGGATAACAAATGATTAGGAATCATCTGATTAGTACTTATTTAAATGACTAGTTGGTATTAAGTTGCTTTTTTAAAAGCTGATCTGCAGTGTTTTAATATCCTCTGTAATGCTTGCATATGACCTAACATGACCACTGTGCCAAAAAAAAGACTTCCAGAGTCTACAGTTCAAATATTCTTCTCCTTTCACTGCCCGATAAGAAGCAATGAGTCAGAACTTGGTTGTTGCTGTCGAAATGCACGGAAGAAAATGTCACTTTATGTAAATCTTAAAGGGGACATATCATGTAAAATCCACTTTTTTAGCTGTTAAATGCRTTTCGTTGTGTAATTGGTGTCTCTAGGAGTTGAATTTAGTCTGTTCTGGTGCAGTGTAGATATCTTTACTCTTTTTGGGTCATATTTTTCAGCTTGTTCAGTTTTCTGTACTATTATGTTACATCATTCGCAGCAGAACTGCAAAACAAGGTCTGGATTTTCCAACTACACTGCAAAAAATGTCTATCTAACCAAGTTTTATAATCTTATATCCAGCCAAAAAAAAGTCTTTTTGGTCTTGTTTTGAGACTGATTTACTAAACAAGAACTGATTGTGTAAGAACAATAACCTTGTTTTCAGAATGTGTAAGATTATTTGTCTTGTTAGTCTGAAAATTTGACTCAAAATAAGTCAAAAATGTCTACCAATGAAGAAAGAAAATTTTACTTGGTAAGATTTTTGAAATACTTGATTTGACTCAGTTTTTTCCTACTTCAAGAATCTTATCAAGTACAATTTTCTTACTCCATTGGTAGAAATTTTTGACTTAGTTTGAGTCAAATTTTCAGGCTAACGAGACAAATAATCTTATACATTCTGAAAACAAGATTATTATTCTTGCACAGTTAGTTCTTGTTTAGTAAATCAGTCTCAAAACAAGATCAAAAAAGACTTTTTGGCTGGATATAAGATTTTAAAACTTGGTTAGGTGGACAGTTTTTGCAGTGTATAATTTTGTGATCTTCATTTTCCTCTCGCTCTGGGTCAGACTGGACCAGTCGTCATTGTTGACATATTTTAATTCMTTTGTAAATACAGTTTTTGTGCCGCTACATAGTTGTAAACCCCTCCATCGAGCTACAACAGCCTGCGCTGGAAGCTGGAGGGGACGGGGGGTTTGGATTTAAAGACAGCCTCAAAACGAATTGATCTGAGTCACAACTCCGAAAAGTGGGGAAAGAGGAGTTTGTACAGTGACCTCAAGGTGGAATTCAGACCAAAGCATTGCAGTTCCACTTTATATTTATATATAGACCCCAACTGAATGGTTTAAATGTGAAAAAGGATTTAAAAGCATGATATGTCTACTTTAATTTAATTTATCACTACGATGAAATAAAAAAATAATGTTTTTTTTTTAAATGCAGAGCGAACTAAGCTTCATCAAGCATGTGGTGATTGAAGGTTTTCTTTCACGTGGCAGCTAACCCAGTAGGACTGATTGGGGAAATGTTAAGGTACCAGCAGTTTGAAGGGTTCAACAATGAGCTGTGGAGGAAGCAAACTGACTGATACTCATTCTGGAATGACTCAGATCAATGTTATTAAAAAAAATCCTAATTGGGGTGTCCCTATAGTGATGACTGCGGGTCGTGACTGTAAATATGATCATTTCCCACATGAGCATGTGTTCTGTTAAATCCCAACAAAGAGATGTTGCATTTTGGTGCCTTTGATCTCTAGTCATCTACAAGTTTACATGGACATGTTTACATTGAGTTCTCATGCCAAGCWCATCGTCAATGGATCAAAATGTCAATTATGTTTAGATAGAATAAGAAACAGTGTTAAATAAAATTATCCCCCACCCCCAGCAGTGCTATTTTCTTGTCCGTGTTTTTGACAGTCCCCATCCTGCTGCCAGTTTTGAGGTCACAGTGAGCCGTCGCGTGTCCACCGTCCATTCTGTCACACACAGAAGCTCGGCCAGGACCCCTGAACGCCACCTTTTTAACCCTCAGCATCTGATCAAAACTCAGTGATGCTGCAGCCAAATGCCCTCGCTTGCTTGTTCCCATGACAACCTGGAAAATAGAGGTAGAGGCGTTTTGAAGTGAAGTTTTAAGTTTATATTTGAAGTGTCGACAAAGGCTGAAAACCCCGAGTCCTGGATTTTGCGCACAGGAAGACTAAAGTTCTCCAGCTGCCACCATGATTCACCTCACACTCCGGTGCAAATAAATGGATTTATTGAGAAAAGAGATCAAAGCAAATACAAAACACTTATATAACTGTCAAAAGCTCATCACCGTCATGATAGAAAATATGTTCCGTTAGATTCTTCTTCTTTTTTTTTCCTCTTATGCTGCACATTTCAAGCTTTTCTAGTCAAAAAGCAGTATGTGTATTTATTCTCTCTGTATTTACAAATGAGGTAAAAACATTAACTTTGTTCACAACAAGTCTGCACCCAGAACACAACATCTAGGAATGGGTTTTATGGTACAAATGAATGTTGGGGTCAGTAACCCAGCAGCTGTGGGAGAAGTGAAGAATGAGGCGTCTTCATGTTTAACCTCTGTGGCTCAGGCTCTGCCCCGCTGCAAAGAGAAATAAAAGCCCAGCATCTCCCCCCAAATCCCCGCGGTCTAATGGAAAAATAAGAAGCCCTTTCAGGCATCCRTTTACAGGCCTCCTCGACTGTTCGCCAAGTCTTTTATGAGTGTGACGGGGGCCATTGTTGCTTCGGCTGAAAATAGCAGGTTTCTGGAAAGCTGTAATCTGGGATTTGATCCCTCTGCCAACTGTTATGAAAGTCCACTCGGTGCTTTGGTTTGTCCAGATGACGGCCAGCCATCAGCTCCCGTTAGGATTAGCGACCCGGCGGTGTTCACACGCTCCTGACCTCTGACCTCCCACTTGTTGACGGGCACGGCTCGGCTGAGACGAAGAGTAGCGACGTTCGACTGTYAATTTCCTTTCTGAAACTGATACCAAGTAAAATCTGGCTAGGATAGACAATACTGATCGGATACTGATACTTTGTGATAACACAACGTGTCTGGTAAATCTTTAAAAGTAGCGTTTTTCAAATAACCGCTTTATAAATAATACATGACGTAGTAATTTATTTATTAATTTAAAAATCTTTCTAAACGTAACCCTATATTTGTTTAGCACAATTTAAATTTCTTATTCTAAAGAAATACAATACTTTTTGACTAGTGAATAAAAGTGAAAAAAAAAATTCTAAAAGTATTTTCTTTGCATATTTTGTAGCATTGTTTGTGGGTTTGCAAGAAGGTCCCTGACCAGAGCTAATGCTGTTTGGGGGGCCCTCATCTAAAATATAATTACAGACAGTCAAAGTAGATTTTATGTTAAAATGACCTGCCATACATCAAGACTGAATGACTGACTGAGCACGTGCCACTGTCCTGATGCATGATGAGCCAAGTGGAAGAAAAAGTAGTTCCCTCCATCCACATGATTTAGACAAGTTTTGAATAGTTTAGTTAGTTTCTATTATTTTCCTGTTAATGATATACATTATGTGAAGTAACTGAAGTATCAAAGTATCGATATTTTGATTTTAGTTTCAATTCTAGAGCATAAAGTTCTGGTATCGGTAGTATCGATATTTCAGTATCAATCTGCACATCACTAACGAAGAGTCGAAGTAAGAATGAGGAACAGTGAAAGCTGGTAAAACAAGCCGCTGCTTTCAGTGAACCTTTCCTTCCCGCCACCACGGAGCCAAGAACTGTCTTGCCCTCCCTTCATGATTTGCTCTCTGATTCAACCCTCCATGTAATCATCAGCCTTATCAAAGGTGAGAGGAGTTGATCCTTCTTGTGCTCTGCTTCCTTTTTTTCTGCTCCTTTCAGATAAATTGTTCTCAGCAGGTCAAAACCTGCAGGAAGGATTGTGAAGAGTTGCAGAGGGGAGGGGGGTGGTGGTGGGAGAACCAACAGCCCTTGTGATATGAAGAAGGTGGTGGGAACTGCCAAGAGTGCCGACGAGCCACAGTATGGTTTCAACACACGATTAGAAGTTCAGTGAGTGTGTGAACGGCGCATGGCACAGGGATGTAGAGCATGTAGAATCTGGGAGAACCTCCTCCGATCCCCTGCTGCATTTATTTGTATTTATTGAGTAGTCACCTTGGAAAGCTGCTTGACGTAGTTTGTATTCCGCCGAGCAATCGTCTGTTAAAACAACCTCTCTGCCGCCGCCACGTTTGGTATGCCCGAGGAGGCGCGCACGCCAAACAGAGCAACAGAGCAAGCATTTCCTCCCTCCCGCAGTCCACACGTCCACTTGCACTTCTTTGTCACGGATCTGTTTGAATTTTTTTTTTTTTGTGTGTGTGCGGCCCCCGCGGTCCCCCCTTGGGTGAGCAGGAACGATCGGCGGCGGAACGCGAATGAGAATAGGAAATCAAATGAAGACGCGAGCGCAGTACTAAGTAGAGAATGCTTGATGTCTTACAACCCGCAGAGCTTTGGAACTTGAAACAGTCCACCAACACAGAATTACTCAACCAGCAGAAGACGAAAAAAAAAAAAAAGGAAGAAAATTCACCCTGGCACCCAGCGATAGTCAAAGCTTTTTTGTTTGTTTGTTTCTCTCATACAAACATTGACAGAAGCTGTGTACAGCCAAGCAGCAAGAATACAACATGTCCACTAAAGTAAACTCTGTTACACGGTCCCAGTCTCCGATCATGTGACAGCACAGCGTGGAATACGTGTCCCTTATTTACAAAAGTTTCATTCAGCAGCAAGGTGATTTAAAAAATACATTTTTGACTGGCACTCATTTGCCCAGGTTTAAAACAAAACAACTCATTTTCACGTGTCAATGAGCAGTTCTGGTGTTTCTGACCGCGAGGGTCAGCTTCATTGTTGTGAGGCGGAGGCTGACGTAGATAATGATGTAGATAACATCAGCTCCGTCTTCCTGGACCTGCTTTCCTGCAGATCCGTCCGTTTGTCTGTTAGACTGGCAGCAGCGAGCCTCTGTCAGTCAGTCTCTCGCCGTTTTCTCGCCTCGTTCGTCACTGAGCATCTGGTAATTCATGTTTGCAGGCGGCACGTTCTCRGGCTCCTGTCGACGCTCAGAGGTCGCTGGCCTCGGCTCGCTCGTACAGTGCCCGCAGCTTCTCGAAGCGGGGCCCCCACTCGCCGAGCGTCTCCTCCCGGCGCGCCTCGACTCCCCCGTCCCCCGAGCTCCCCCCGTCCAGTCCTGCTGAGCTGAAGGAGCTGAGCGAGCCGGCGGGCGAGCCCCCTCCCTCGGTGGAGAACACCTGCAGGGAGTCAAAGGGCCCGGAGTCCGGGTGCTGGTCGGCGTCGCGGATGATCTCGCACAGGTAACGAGCCAGGTCCTGGCTGGAGAAGGACAGCGAGCGCCGCGACAGCTGCGGGGGGCGCGCCTGGCCCTGGGCCGGGGGCCTGGCGGGCGGCACGTCCCTTCGGAGGCTGGTGGTGGTGGTGGTGGTGGTGGTGGAGGAAGTGGAGGCGGCGGAGGGGGGCAGGGTCGTGGAGCTGGACGTGCGACTGAGGGGGTCCAGGGTCTGAGCGGAGGGCGGGGCCGGGGGCGCCTGGTGGAGGAGGTGGTGGTGGTGGTGGGAAGGAGGCGGGTGGTGCAGGGCTCGGGAGCGGCAGTACTGGACCGACTGGGCCGGGCTCGGCTGAAGCGACTTCTGTAGCTCTGCCATGTCGTAGGCGTTCTGGAAACACAAACAGGATGAGATGCAGTCAGAACACAAATTGTACGAAAGGAGATGAGAGAGAGAGAGAGAGAGAGAGAGAGAAAGAGAGAGAGAGAGAGAGGGGGAAAAAAACAGGCCGGTGATCGACTGAATGTTCGGGGAAGAGAGATGAAGCAGAAAAATATGAAATGTGACAGCAAGAAGGCAGAGAAATGAAAGGAGAGCAGAGAAACAATCAGCTTTCCTCATTACATTTACTGTGAACGTTCCGCCTGTTTAAGTTTCCAATCCATCTCCATTTACTGTCTCTGAGCGGAYGTGGCTTTAGTCACTCTGTGAGAGCGATTGTGACCCTGAGGACGAAAATATGAGTGAGGTGATTCAAAACGAAGACGAGACTTCTTGCTGTCTATCCACTACAGGCTGGTGAACCAAGGTTAGCAGCTGCTGCTGCTCTGACGTACAGCAAACTGGAAGTCACTTCAGTCCTAATGTGATTCCAGCAGAACTGTAACCACAGAGATGGGAAAAAAATAAGTCTGTGGGAGGGAGAGGAGGAGGATAAAACGATGCACGTGTGGAGGAGGAGTGGGTGGCTTCAGAAAGCTGATTAGGTGACAAGTGTTCCTTTTTATTATTCCCAGATATGTCAAATGAGGAGACAGAGAATTCAGCAGCTTGAACCCTGTACAAGCCCCCAGGACTGTTAGACTGCAGGTGACAGAGGAGGAAGGACAGAAGCTTGTGGACATTTTCTTTAACATTAACACAGATTGAGTAATGCATGAACACAGAAACAAGGTCTGAAAAGCAGAGCCAGTTCAGACGCCTCATGAAGCAGCTAAAATTGGACTGTAGGACTATAGGATTCTGCATAATTTCAAACTTTCTGCACAAAAAATAAATAAATAAATAAATAAATAAATAAAAAGGCTGAGAAGGCCAGTCTCTCTACGCCCACATTTCTGCACCAGCAAGGATTGAATTCAAAATGTGAGAATGTGCCTGAATAAATGCCAAACCGAAATGTAACTAGACATTAATAAACATGTTATAACTGCACTGTCTATACAGGTTCCCGCCATTTAAGAACCGGAATCAGCTAAATATGACCTATGTTTCGACGATGATGCAGTCAGAAGTTTTACTGTTGACCTGACCGTTCACCTGTTTCCTGCTGTTTCAATAACTTACTGACACACACTGAGCTTGTTTTCTGAGCCCACCGAAACATTTAAAACATTCACTAGACGTGCCGCGAGTCATAGATCACCATCAATCTGTTCTCTTTTTAGTTGCCTCGCCGAGACTTTTGGCTGCAATTTAGTGCTTTTTTATCTCTAACTGAGCTACTTAGTTTCTTGTTTTTACAATAAACGGAAAGGTTTAAAATAACTTGTTGTTGAAAATTTGTCATTTTTCTGCATAGAACTATAAAATAGTTTGTTTTTTGTGAAAAATAACTTTTTTAAATACAAAAGATGCAGAAACCTGTGATTGTCCTGCTGTCTAACTTAACGCCCCCTTGTTCTTTCCTACAGCAAACCTGAGCTCAGTGGTATTATCATTATGAAACATTATTATTAAAAGTGTTTCATAAAGTATAGACAGTACAAAAACATCCCCATAGCTTTAACATTATTTATTTATAGACAAGCTTTTCACCAAAACAAATGTTACAACGTCTGTAACAATTTTTAATGCTAAATACCCTGATGTTTGCTGCTCTTATTAAATTTATTTTGGAASAGATCCACTTAAAAGTACTAAACTTCAGTGTGTTGCTGCAAATTTTGAGCACTTTGCAGAGCAGATAGTGTGAGGTCCAGCCTGCAYGCTGCAGCAACACCGGCTGTGTGGACGCTTGTCTCTGCTGCAGTTTGAACCACACTAAAGCTGTGCGCCATCTGACTTTCTTTTTCACCACGTTTGATAAGTGTCAGAGAGTAGTTTTGGCTTGAACACAATATTGGTCAGTTTTTTCTCAAAATCAGCAAAAATAATTGCTGATGACCATTTTGGTGTCATCTGCAACCATGCACCATTTATTAGTACAAAACGGAAAATGTGTAAAAATAAGAAAAGTGTTTTTTTTTTATTTTATTTTGAAAGTTGGTGGTTATTGGTTTGTTGCAAAAATCTAATTTACAGTATGTCARTTTTTCAAAAAGAAAAGATAAGTAGGTCCTCTGGATGGGGTCTTCTCTAATGAAACGTTTCATCTCTCCTCCAAGAGGCTTCCTCAGTCTGATGAGTTTCAGCTGAACTCAGCCTTATGAGCACTGCTTCAACATGGTGGACAAACAGGTTAGTCAAATGCAAAATAGGGCCATTGCCTAACAATAGTCTTGATTAGCTCGATTTTTCATAGAGGGTCATGTGCCCCATCCTCTGACCCGTGTCATGTTATGTGTATGTAGTGAGTGCAAGCGGGGCTCGACATCCCCTAAACATGACGTCCCAGTGGCTTTCAAACCCCAAAACGTTATGACAAAGATTAGTTCACCCCAAAGATCCAGTTCCCCGGTAAAAACAGAGTAATATAGTATATGCTGTTAAGTGTCAGGAGGACTGTGATCAGTCATACATTGGGGAAACAAAACAGCCACTGTTCAAAAGAATGAGCCAGCACAGACGAGCTACTTCATTGGGTCAGGACTCTGCAGTTTACACTCATCTACAGGCCAGCGGTCACTCTTTCAGGGATAAAGATGTTCTCATCCTTAATAGAGAGGAATGTTGGTTTGAGAGAGGAGTAAAGGAAGCCATCTTTTTGAAAAAAAAAATTCCGAACACCATTAAACAGAGGTGGAGGCCTTCGTGTTCAGTTGTCCTCCACCTACAATGCTGTTATTGCAAGTATGACTCAACCCCTGTGAGCAAAAGGTGTGAATCAGGGCCCCAATGATAACCATCACAAAGAAGGAAAGAAGGACAAAAACAAGAGGACGTAGAGCCCCGCTTGCATTCACTACATTCACATAACACGACACGGGTCAGATGATGGGGCACATGACCCTCTATGAAAAATAGAGCTAATCAAGCCTATTGTTAGGTGATGGCCCTCTTATAAGTGCTTATAAGGCTGAGTTCACCTGAAACTCACCAGACTGAAGAAGTCTCTTGGAGGAGAGACGAAACATTTCACTAAAGAAGAACCCATCCAGAGGACCTACTTTTTTTTCTACCTGGATTACTAAGATGCATCAGGACATATATCTAATCGTGTTGAAAGCACTGCTCTGGTAGTGTATTAATGGTCATTTCTCATATTCTAAAGCTGAGGATGGATCAAAACTGGGATGCCCAAAATGTCTTTTACCCTTTAGACACGTTTATAAGGTCAGAAAAATCCTACTGGCAAACAGAAAACTTTGTTGARTTAGTGACAGGCTGCAACATGCCAGGTGATGCAGCTCACAGCTTCTGATGGCTGTAGAGTTTGTATGAATTTTGATACTACAAAGTGATTAATTCACAATAATTGYAGACAGCAAACAAACTGAAGGTGTCGTGAGTCACGGTGACTTCTGGCTCGAAAAAATAAAATAGTGAGAAACTCAAGGCCTCTAACTGGAAGCTTCTGTTTGACTGGTGACGTCCATCTTCACACCTTTCCCTGACTGCTTTAGTGTGTGTGTGTGTGTGTGTGTGTGTGCGCGTGTGTGTGTGTGTAGTAATGCAGCATATTTTTGCTTCGATCAAAGCTTTGATATTATGCAAGCTCTTAAGCACTGCTGAGTGCATGTGGGTTACACTGGCTGGTGGAGAGGGGAGATAAGGATTTTGCGTGGGCCTAATTAAAACACTACCTCACACACCGCAGAATTTTATTCCAAATTGAATTGACTTAATCCACTGCAAAGCTGCTTCYATGTGTCCAACGCCAAGCTTCTACAAATTCAATGTAACCACCATCTCTAAAATTATAATCACGTAGTTAGAAGCATTTCGTCTCCGTGCAGGCAAGAGTGCCGCACTCATGTGTGATTTCAAAGGTGAGTCAAACACGGAGAAGCAGGCCTTGCATCCTTGGAGTGTTTTTCTAACTTGCTTTAACAGTGTAACATGAATGTGTGTGTGTGTGTGTGTGTGTGTGTGTGTGTATACCTGGTCCTCCTCTCCACCCCCCTCCTCGTCATAGTTGAGCACGTTCTCTCGGATGTCCTCCCACCCGTCGTGATGTGCAGACACGTGGTACACGCCCTCCTTCAGCCCTTTGTAGGACCTCCAGCGAGTGTAGAGGAAGATGCCCAGCAGGAGCACTGAAGGTAAGRAAGACAGCAGCACTACCATTAGCATTACAAATGAAAAGATCTAAATCCTTCAGTCAATTACGGCGTGCCCCCAGAGACGGGGGGGCACTCTGATGGAGCTGGCCTTGAGCATCATTAGGTGATAATGAGACATGATATGAGTTGGTTTTAAAATAAAATAAAAAAAGAGGTAATTAGGAACTCAATTTTAATTATTTTATTGCTATTTGGCCAATATTTTAAGGACACTGATATAAATGGGTTTTGTTTCTGCTGGTTGGAGCACTGATTGACATAAAAACAGATTCAAAATCAATGAATATTTGGTATGAGTGAGTTACATGTAACCCACATATGTCACGTGTCAAACTCGAGACCTGCAGGTCTGCCACCACACCCCATTTTTCCTTCTTAATTTAACATACAAATAATATTCAAATCAGTTGTGAACTTTAAATTTATTATTCAGTGCAACAAAATAAACACATTTAGGCGAAAAAATAATATTACCTGTCCTGCCCCTGAGCTGTTGGCTTTGAGTAACTGACCCCCCCCCCACCACCGAGCAATTGAAATGAATAGCCCTGTATTAATGTTTTAAAAATAGGTCAGCATTGATCATAAACTACATCTCCCAAAATACATGTTGAYTATTTTACCCACAAAATGATGGCATCCCACCACTGGCTGGAAGTGCACAGGATTGAAAAGCATACGACAGCTGGTGAAATTCACAGTGTAAAATCTACATTTAGCTGCATTTTCGGCGGCTGCTATTGGTACAGCCCAGCTGTACTGGGAAGTGGGAATTTCCCACTTTCAAGTCAAAAAACTTTAACTGGAACAATTGGAATTCCCTGACAGAAAGTAGGAGAGTTGAGAATTCAAGACAGCAGCTACTCATCACAACTCAACAGTGAGTAAAACTCTTTTACTTTTACTTTTAATAGTAGTTTAATTATTTCCCATTTAATTCAATGTCCCCAAAGTACCTTTTAGTGTTTATAAAATGACCTGTTAAAACACTGTTTCTATGCAAGAAATACCATGTAGAGCTCAGTTAAGTTTTATGTTTAAAATGTCCTGATGCATCTCAGTAATCCAGGTAAAAAATCAAGAAGAAAAAATATTGTATAGGTCTTCTGGACGGGTTCTTCTCTAATGAAACGTTTCGTCTCTCCTCCAAGAGACTTCTTCAGTCTGAGAGTTTCAGAGTTCTTAGAGAAGAACCCGTCCAGAAGACCTATACATTTTTTTTCTTTTTGTTTTATGTTTAGTTCAGTTAAAAATGCAAMAAAGTTAATCACAACTTTGAGGACCACCATTACGCTCATGTGGCCCTCTGTTATGAGTTTGACACCCCTGTATTATGTTACAGTATGTGACCACATACCAGCAGATTTATGAACCCACCTTGGACAAAATTTGTTTGAAGAAGAGTTTGAATTCAAATAAAGCCAAGCTTTAGCCTGTTTTCTCTGTTCAGGTGTTCAACATACTATGAGAAAATAGTTGTCATCTTTGAGCTGTTAAACGCTTCACAATGTTTAACGGCTGCAGCACACTTTGCTTTTAAAAAAAATAAATAAATAAATGAAAAAGAAAGCTTTCACAAAGCAACAACCTGCTTCAGGCAGAACGGAGCCTATGCTAGAGGTCAGAACGATTCAAACGGGTCATAAAAGCAAAGCAACAAGCTGAAAAAAAAAAGGTTGTAGTACTTTAGAATTGTGCTTGGCCACAACTAAGAGCAGAGGAATGGATAGAGCGAGCTTCTATTTAATTCACTGAATTCACTCCATCCACCCATCGATCCATCACTAGTTCACATCCACGTTCACCAGAGCAACAAACTAAATGGGGCCCACAGGATTTATTTATTTATTTATTTATTTATTTATTTATTTATTTATTTATTTATTTATTTATTGTCCCCACAACATTGGGAGTTCAGCCCAGTTGAATCTGAAGCTTTTTGAGAATCTGTTGAAAGTCTCAGATCAAACTCTGGACCTCCCCCCTCAGTTAGTCACGCCTGAAAACCACCACAGGCATCCGACCCAGATGTTGTTCCCACTGGGGTAATTAACTCTGTTAATGAATGAATTGAGACTAATAAAGTCGTCTGACTCTGATTCTAATCTATTCTATGATTCTCATTAATAATGCAGGTTGTTCAGAGCACTCTCATCCATCTCAGGAGCTTTTCTTCATAGGCACATTTTTTTTCCCTTATTTCATTATTTAATATTTTTGCATGGATTTCACTGAAAACTTCCCCCACTTTACAGTTGAGCAGCTTCTCACATCAGAAACTCTTGTTACATCAGGGTTTGACATGACTGGCTCACTGACCAGAAGCAGCTTTTTAATTAAAGTCTGACACTCACAAGAACTTATTTTAGTAGGGAACAGAACTACTCCCATCCTTTCTGTACATCTGCTAATATCTCTGTAGTAAAGACTAATAATRCTGGTCTGACTGACAGGCTTTATAGGTGTAGAGCTTTACATTACAGGCACTGCAGGGAGCTCTAACAKGCTTCGACAGTAAATGGTATTAGAATAGTGCTACCAATGCACTTGGCAAGCAAAGGTAATTGGTGACCTGACAGCGGTGCTTAAGACTAATTTAAATATATATATGGGAGAGAGAAAATGTGAAATGCATAAATGTGGTTTCTTCCAGTTGCATGGATAAATGTTGAGGTAAAAAGCCGACTCTGGACAGCTCACACACAGAAAAGCACAGTTCAGCTAATCTGCATGTTTTGTTTATTTCCTTCCTCATTCTGGTGTAACTGTGACCTTTTCAAATGTCTGACAAATCCTGTGTGTTTTGTCTCATACCCATCACCCMTCGCCTTAGTGTTTACTTCACAACTCACCAGCTTTTCTATCTTATTAACCTGCTTTCTGCCCACACAAATTCCCACCGTTCCACTCTCCACAAACCAGCTGCTCGTTCCCCWCGAGACTGAAACCGAGGCAACTCGTAGTGCCTGACTGCCATGTTTAAAAAATATTTAATCATTTACAAGCAAATGTCATTAACTGATGGAATTACACTCCGAGTCGCACTATTCTCTATCTTTGAATCTTTTTTTTTTTTCAAAGACCATAGCAGAGAAGCATTTAACCACGTTTGAGAAACGCACCAATCCCATACCAGCAGCATTATAAATACACAGGCTGTGCAAATCCTATTAATGTGAGACCCTAAACAACTCAAACCCTGATTTTTTTCCTAAACGTTTTCTGCTCCTGGCTTGTCTTCTCTAACTCTGCCTTTTATTTCTTTAATTTTTTTTCTTTAAAATATATTTTTTGCTTTCTCCCACATCACAAATAAAGTCCAGAAACCAGTCCATCATGTAAGCACACCGAACTGAAGGTACTCAGACTCCACACTGAATTGATAACTTCCCATTAAACAGGCGTCCCTCTGACAACTCTGTAGGAATAAACCCAGTCGGTCAGAAAGCAGCTGCATGGCATGAGACGAAAGATCGATACTCATTTACTGTCAACTTGTCGCCCTCACCACAACTTCAGTGCCTGGCAGATTTATAAGACTAAATTGTTTCGAGAAGTTCACCGTGCGTTTTTAAAGAGTGCCAGTGTGGCTTTTAATGGCTCGTGAACCAGAAAAGGAAGAAGATAAAGACACAGTGCGGCAGAGTATTGTTTTGGCAGGAGACACATGGCAAACTGCTGAACAGGTCGCTTTGATGCTGGAGAGGCAGTGAATCTGCAAAAGACAAGGTTTCAGGTTCCAGCCCACTGACTCACAGCGACCCTCGTTGACTGAACTTCCTTYAAGTCAGAGGGAAATAAAAGAACGGAAACGTGGTTGTGAAGCAGCAATTTTTATCAGCATCAGTGTTTCTCTCAGGACTTATAAATATAACGCTAAGACTAGCGTTGCTGGAGCACTGAAACACAGTGAAGTTAAACCTTTGTTATAACCTACAGGCAAAAGTTCAAACATCACCACACTCCCCGGCAAAGTTAGAACAATTTCACATTGTAGAAAGCCAGGATGAATTATTTTTCTCGTGACCTGTCAGTTTTTACAAACTGTGGACCTGTTGCACAGTGGAGCCAYGTTTGATGAGCAAGTTTCATTTAAAATGGATTTAAAAGTAGGATCAGCTGGAGGATGTGGTTTTCACAATAACACGGCAGCTGCAGTTTTAGGCTCTCCAACCAAAACAAGTTGCTCAATAACAGTAACT